AGTTTTCAAACTTTTATAATCAATTACCACAATTTGCAATTGCTTACATCCACCTTCTTAGAAAGACTACGAACTAAGTCGAAAACAATTTTAGCTTAGTTTCTCCAAATTTTTTATATGGGAGAAGTGACCAATCAAACACACTTCTAGTGTTTAAAAAATTATTATGAATGTGTTTATCGGAGCTTAAAAATCATTTGCTTTAAACGCAAATAATTCTTTGACAAATTTAAAATTTTGGTAGAATAAATTTCAAAAATTAATTTTTAAATTAGTTTTTAGGTAAATCCTAACGTTAAGTTCTTAAACTTATTTTAAAATCTTAATTAAACTCTTAAACTTTTATTGAATAAATAAATTCTTAAATTTGTCAATTGAGGTAATTTAATCATCTTTTTTACTACAAATTTAATATTGGATTGTATCTCTTTTGCATGGATAAGATCAATATCTGTAGTATAAATAAGGACACATTAATATTTTATTTATATAAGTGATATGCAAATGGGTATTAAGTTTGCTATAAAAACATAAACTAATATTAAGTTTACCATAAAGATGCAAATTGAGATTAAGTTTGCCGTAAATACATAAAGTATGGTTAAGTTTATCATAAAGGAAAAAGGTTAATTTACCTAAATTGTTAAATTTAAGAATTTATTTACTTTAATAAAAATTTAAGAGCTTAATCGAGAATTTAAAAAAATTTTAGAAACTTAATATAAGGTTTTGCCTAGGTTTTAAGCAAATTTTGTAAATGTTTAAACGTGTAGTTTTCTCAAAACTTGTTTAAAAACCATTTTGGAAGCTAATTTTTGAATTTTCTTTCCATAAACTTTTAAATTTATGAAAAAAAAATATTTTTAAACAATTTTTTATTTTTTAAAGTTTTGCCACACTATCTATTGCTTAGCTATGAGTTTCTTTTCCTCAAGCAAAATTACTTGGCTATGGGTATTATACATCTGAAATAATAATGAGTGTTTGTTAAAACACTTTATATTCCTTAATTGTGTGGATCCAATAAATCCCAAAAAACTACTAATAAATCAAATAAAGAGAATTTAACCGACTAAATTCAAAATGATCTTAATTCTGAGTAAAGATCATGTTTAAACTTTTGTAATGCAACATAAGTCCTGTCTTTGGTGATAAAAAACACAATATACATCTAAATTAAAAAACTATACTCCAAACAAATTTCAAAAAATAAAAATAAAAAATAAAAAAAAAATATATATATACTCCAAACGAAGGATTATTTATATTTATATATGAACACTTAATTAAGCACATCAAATCTCAAAATGTTCGCGTAACAAACCCTTTCAATAAAAAAAATTTATTACCTCCAACCTGGTTTATTTAGTTCGTCAAATCCAATGGTGAGACGATTCTTCCTGATCTCCGATACTGAATCCGAGATGGGGTCTCCCTGCAGCCATCGGCGACGGTGAGGTATTAGAACGGCAAGCAACTGTCATGGCGAGCCACCCCTCACTCTTCGACCTTCTTATGGGATACGATACGTTGGTGGATTTGGGAGATGCGTGAGGACAGTTCCCTCCGCGAGATCTGTTGTGAAGCGCGCAGCCGCAATTGCGGTGGTAGGGACG